AAATATTTTTTGTAATATCTGATGATTTTGTAATATTTTATTTTTTGTATTTATATTTTTTTAGTTTGTTTCTGTTACTACAGATTTTTTGCCTTCGAATTATATATAAACATAATTATATTGACATTTATATATTTATCATAATGTTAAATGTTTTTATATTCTGGTCACCTACTTTTTTATATTTAATAGGATTATGTAAACTAGCATATTTTATATATTGGCATATTTTATATATATATATATATATATATAAGTTGTTATTACTGTATTTCCTGTACACTAGCTCAGATGAAGGGGGAGGCAGTTTCCCCAATACACGTAGGCTTTACTTATCACTTGTGAACAAAGAACTCCAATAAACTTCTTGAATGTAACCACAGGCATAAATAACCTTTATACTAGGTGGGCCTGTACACTCATCATTTATTACCCTGGGTAGAGTATTGCTGTCTCTTTCTGAGAGGCCGCAGCCTAAGATCTCAACAAGTCTCACCGACATCACTCCCTCTTGAGTTACAAGACTCTCTGAAGGTCAAATCACCTCCATTTGATGCCAGTCCATACACTGGTTCAGTACTGTCACACTGCAGCCATTGATTAGTAAATTCTTGAAGTTTGAAAAGCCATCAGTGTGTTCTGATAGCGGTAGGTCCCGCTGTCAGTATACAATATCGCATTGGGGGAAAATCCTCCATCCACCTCGTGTGGATGAAGAAATCTGTTTGTTTGTTTTTTTTTTGCTTAACCAGCTGGAAGGATTTACTCTAAGGTTTGCTAATGCCCCTTTTTCTTTAGAGTTAGCAATTTTACATGATAAGCAAGGTCCTATATAGTAATCGGAATATTTTCTCTTGCAGCATTATAATAGTGCAAGGAGACCAGGCATGTAAGGCCAGGTAGTTGACCTCTGACCCCTCAGTCTCATGTCAAAGTGGAAAACACAGATAAAGAAAGTAACGTAAGAGGGTAAAAAAAATCTTAAATGTATCCTACAGGACAAAGGCTTGATATTCATAGACCCTGGGTTATAGGATGCTACCTTCAGGGGATTGGACTCTGGCAAAGCTTTTGGACTTGCCCCCCTTGGATGTAACCCTACCATACTCCATGAGTTCTCAGTTTTTTGCTAGTGTAATTTAGGTGATGGACCACTTTGTCACGGTCAGGGGTCAGGTTCAAAGACCAGTAGCTATAGCACAGTAGAGAGGCTCCCACCGACCAGCAGGATAAGTACACAAGCAGGTCACCCTGGTGGATGAGGCAGGGTCACCGTAGGTGCGAGGTCTAACTACTAACCTGTATACACCAACGCTCTTGATGGTGGAGATGAGTTTTGCTGCATGTTAGAACCAGGTCTTGGTCCTCAGGATCCTCCCACCAAGAGGCGAGCAAGATGGGGTCCAGTAGCAGATATAGCAGGTAGGGATCAAGCAGAAGCATGATCAGTAAACAAGCCAAAGGTTGGTACCAAGTAGTTGCAGGTTGGGATCAAGTGGAAGTGTAGCCAAGGAACAAGCCAATGGTCAATAACAAATGGTTGCAGGTTGGGATGAAACGGAAGCGTAGTCAAGGAACAAGCCAAACGTTGGTAACATATGATAGTGAAGATAAGCACCGCTGCAGGTATGTAGGGGAGCAAGATATTGGATGGAGAGAGCACCATAATTTGGCAACCAGAAAGTGCAAAGGCTAAGATTTAAATAGGAAGTTTGTGGGATCACTAGAAGGTTAACAAGAAACAAGGTACAAGGCAAGATTGTCTAAGGGATCAGACAGGTTGCTGTCCATCATATCAGGTGGCTCAGCAAGAAGTATTACTGCCAGACACAGCATAAGTGATGGGTTCAGATCCAGGCTCTGGCGCACTTCTTCCTTATTGAGAGAAGTATCTATGCTTAATAGTTCTCACTTCAAACTCTTCAGTCAACCAGTTCACTTCCTTCTACAACAGAAGGAGTGTATTCAGATTGGTAAAACCTTGGGAACCGTATCCAGATCCTATGCTGTGGGGATGGCCTGCAGGGTTGCTTCGAGCACTGGATCCTGCTTTGGATGCTCACTTTGGAGTGCACTTGGTGCAATGTGTTTTGTTAGCCACAGGGTTCTTTACAGGTCCAGGGTTGTGATCCATTCCTATGGTTCCCAGACCCTGAAGACCCTTCCTGTGAGGTATGTCCATCATAACAGGCAAAGCCTGCACCCATACAGGGATCAGCAATGTGGGAGGTATGGCAGGTTTGTCCTGTTATCAGACCATTACTGTAGCCCTAGTCCAATAGCAAGTATGAGTTTTTATTATCTCTACTACCTTCAATAAAAATATTAGTGTCTCCTGAATTGTATTCATTAAACAATTAAACTATCAGAGGATTAGGAATTGTATTTGATTTTATTCACTTTTTAAATGTTTTGGATTGAGTGGAGAGAGAGATTAGAACACCTCTCAGATTTGCATTGCAGTACCAAAATTTGGGAGATTTCTGCTCTTTGTTTGTCCTGTTTACTGTTCTCATTGAAAATGAAAATAAAGAAAATCCTAAATTTTGGTTTGTCCCCAGAACAGTAATATAGGGGAATAATTCTAATGCTGACACTAGCTCTTGTGACCCAGTTGACAGTCATAGATTCTCTCAGTTTGGAGTGACTTCCTGTTTTAACTATAGGACAGAAAGTGAAGGGAAATCTCCCCAATGGGACACAGATGCCAAAAAAAAACCTGATCTCCCTTACTCTATGAAATGGGCAGCACAGTGGTAAAATGGTTAGCACTTCCGCCTGGCAGTACTCGGGTCGCTGGTTCGAATCCCAGCCACGGCACCACCTGCCTGGAGTTTGCATGTTCTCCCTGTGCCTGCATGGGTTTCCTACAGGTACTCCGGTTTCTTCCCACACTCCAAAAGACATGCTGGTAGGTGAATTGGATCCTGTCTAAATTGGCCCTAGTATGTATGAATGAATGTAAGTTAGGGATGTTAGCTTGTATGCCCCTTGAGGGTTAGGGAGTGATGTGAATGTACAATATATATAAAGCGCTGCATAAATTGATGGCGCTATATAAGTACCTGAAATAAATAATACATTAAAAAGTTTTGCCTTTAGTTCTACTTTAAACTTGGTTTTAAAAGTTCCACCATTCAGAGCTTAGTCTCAAGTGGATGACCAGGTTTTACATTACACCAAAGGTCGCACAGGGGGATATGCTCACTAAAAGCAAGGGCAGAAACCAGGTGCAAGAGAATAACAGCAAACCTCAGGCAAACATTTGATCTGCAATTGGCATGTAAGGTAATCAATCTTCTCAGAGTGACGAGACTTATTTTAACATTGGTCTCCCGCTTTTTTTTCTGTGATGAAACCCTAGAACACGTCATAACACACATTGCCGAATGATTCTCATGTTTGTCCATATGCACTGAAGCTGCCTATAAAAGATGCCTGAGGTGTATGTTCTTTGAAGGAGACTGTCTCTTTGGTGAGGCATTTGACAAATTCATGAAAGGTGTCATTGGAGGAAAAGTTCTTCACCCACAACAGACGGCTCTAAAATCCCACTCTTCTACCTCTGCAAAATACAGAGCATTGTTGAGAAATATTCATGAACAGGCTGTCATTGGCACCCTTTAGTTGCATCTCCATGAGAATTTCCTTCAAGTTTGGCTTCTGTTCTCAGTACTCCCTTTTCTTGTTCACCATCACATGCAGTTTGTAGGTACCTTGGCAGTTGCTTGCACATCCCATAAAACATCATCAGTTATGTACTTCTCTACAGGCTCTCAACCAGAGATTTCCCAGCATCTCTAATTCCCTGATATTTACCAGTTTGGTACATTCCAACCAAAGAAGTTACTCTCCTTCATTATAAGAGCTTCTGTGGGAACAAAACCTCCTTCTTTCAATTAACCCTAACAACCATAGTTTTGCATTGGCTCCCTCTGTGTTCTTCCTTGAGACCTCCTCCTTGGGGATGAAGTATCCTGAAAGCCAGTCCTTCTTACTTCATTGGTGCTCTTTTTATTGCCTTCTGTGGGAATGTAATTTTCCCTCCTTGTGTACTGTTTTAAAGGCATGTCAAACATTACTGAATCGTCTTATGGGTAAGGTCAGAGCTGTCTTCTATGGCTACCTGCCATGTATACCTTTGTCAACTGACCTGTCTTCCATTCCTCACAGAGAAGTCCCTCTATGAGATTCCTCCTTCCTCTTTCCACCTGACTGGGTGGTTATTTTGCACTTCTTTCTGGGCTTTTGCCTTCAGGGAAAGGGTCTCCCTTTACCTACTTTAACCCATTGTCCAAAGAGGTTGGGATTCTTAGGTTCTTTACAGCATCTAGCGTTGGCCCTTCTCAGGGGGTGACAGGGCCACTGCCTATTTTTCTGTGCACGTTTGAAAAACAGTTTTTTGACAGTTGGCTGTTTAAGTCTCTGCTGATCCCTACTACATCTACCAGATACTTTTGCTGTCACCTTTCAGTTTTGGTCTGTTGACTTTTTTTTTCTGTAGGCCTATTGCTGCAGTATTGCTGCAGTGTGACCCACTCCTCGATTTAGTGCTTGGGGATGTTCCATGGTCTAAGAATCAACTTCTATATCCTCTACCGTGTCATATTTTGGAGTACAGTATCTCCTACAGCATCTCCTTACTCCTTGCTAAAAAGCTGGAGCATCACAGAGTGGATGGAAATATGTGGGGATATTCAGGGGTGGTTCTCAGCAAAGCTTTTGCCAGTGTCCAGTCACCTGAAGGTAGTAGCATGAAAACAGTGGTCTAAAACTCAACTCTTGTGTACTTGTACTTGTGTCCTGTACTGTACTCTTAGATATGGAATTGTAAAAATTACTTTTTTTTTTTTTTTTTTAATGAATGGATTTCTAACAATGCATGTTATTTTTATTTGGGAAACTCCATTGATACCAAAATCAAATTTTTAAAGTATATGAAATGTTGAAGTACTTTCAAACAACATTTTTCAAGTCTCTAATGATATTATTGAATGTAAAGACAAAAAATATTCATACGAACACTCTTGAAAATCTACTGTGTATGGCCAGCTTTTATTTTACTGGGGCTTCTCCTCGATCATAAAGGTGATTACCGTATTTTTTGCTCCATAAGACACACTTTTTCCCCCCCACAAAATGGGGGAATATGTCTGTGCGTCTTATGGAGCGAATATAGAGCGGCCGACCTGGTATTCCCCCGTCACCGCCGCCATGTTAGAATACCGGGCCGGCCGCTCAGCTCTTCTGTGCAGCAGAACCTGTTCCTCAGTCCTACCTGTTCCTCGGTCCAGCGGTGTCCTCACCGTCTTCTCTCCCTGGCACCGGCATTTTTAATGTGGGCACCCAGCTGTGACAGCTTGTGGCTTCAGAGCCGGGTGCCCACTGCGCATGCGCGAGAAGCACTGCACTTTGTGAATAGCCCTGTAGTCTTCTGGGACCTGTCACATGTCCCAGAAGACTATGGGGAGGGAGGGAAGGCAACTCCGCGGAAGTGGGAGCGGGTACCTGTCAAATACTATGTCTGCAGTCTCTGGTCATCTCCTGTACTATGTCTGCAGCCTTTGTTCATCTCCTGTACTATGTCTGCAGTCTCTGGTCATCTCCTGTACTATGTCCGCAGTCTCTGGTCATCTCCTGTACTATGTCCGCAGTGTCTGGTCATCTCCTGTACTATGTCTGCAGTCTCTGGTCATCTCCTATACTATGTCCGCAGTGTCTGGTCATCTACTGTACTATGTCTGCAGTCTCTGGTCATCTCCTATACTATGTCCACAGTCTCCGGTCATCTCCTGTACTATGTCTGCAGTCCATTGGTTCAGAATATTTTTTTTCTTGTTTTCCTCCTCTAAAACCTAGGTGCGTCTTATGGGCAGGTGCGTCTTATGCAGCAAAGAATACGGTATGCTGATTTATTGTACAGTGAACAGGCTGAAAGCAAGGATGTTAAACAGGGAGCTGCCAAGCTAAACAAAAAATAGGCGTATCAACTGGCTGACTATGCAGTGTGACAGAGCTCTGAAAATCACAAGATTGAATGATCAGAATATTATCTTTAGCAGGAACAATCAGAGTTTATAGATTTCAACTGTGGATATTTGGTTGCCTAGAGTTTCACTGTAAAGTACGTATATTTTTTATTTCAGGTAACAAAAGAAGAAGAGTTTCTAAACCTTAATCACTGTGAACTGTTGGACTTGGTTAGTCAAGAAAACCTTAATGTACTTTGCGAAACAGAGGTATACAATTCCTGTGTAAGATGGATGCAGTGGGATGTGAACAACAGAGCACAGTATTTTAATGTCTTGCTAAATGCCATTCATCTCTATGCTCTGCCTCCCAAATTTCTGGCAGTGCAGCTAAAGCATTGTCCCATTCTCAATATGGAAAACTCATGCAGGAAGTTTCTGTATAAGATCTTCCAAGAAATGTCATTACACAAGCCTCTTCCACCAATGAAAGTACGGGGAAATCAGCTAATTTATGTAGCAGGTGGCTACCAACAGAATTCACTGACCTCTCTGGAGGCCTTGAATCCACATACTATGGAATGGATTAAGCTTGCTGACATGTTGGAGCCTAGGAGTGGTCTTGGAGCCTGTACTGTGAGTGGACTACTTTATACTGTAGGAGGGAGGAATCATTCTGCTACAGAAAATGCAGATTCAAACTCTGTAAACTGCTTTAATCCAATGACCAATGAATGGACAAAAAAGAGAACCAATGAACGAACCAAGAAATCGGGTTGGAGTAGCTGCAATAGATGGAGCTATTTATGCTGTTGGGGGCTCATCTGCCTCTGAACACCACAAAAGTGTTGAAAGGTAAGAAAATGATATGTCATATTGGTACAGCAGAAATTGCAACAAAAGGGAACAGTATTTGCCTGAGTCATATGAAAGGGTAATTAGAAAAAGGCAATATTCTTTTTTAATTCTTCATGCAGATTTGTTGAAAATATTGAACACAACATACATTTATGTATGTAATTGCGCTGAACAAAGGCTTACAAAGAAGAAAGGAGTGTAATGGATATAACCAACTCTTATCCTGCACTTATTAATGCAGTATATTTTCAAATGACATACTGTAATTTCTATTTTTTGTTAGGATTGATGGGTTGAATCACTGGCCAACTTCTCATGCCTAATGGTAGTGATTTTTTTTTACAAAGAGTGTATTTGGTTTCAAAAAGGCATCTAAAAAGTGAAATAATTATCACTGTAAATAAGAGTACTGTACAGGTAGAGAAAAATAAGGTTAGAGAGCAACAAAATAAGGTTAGAGAGCAACAAATTAAACAATGTATGATGAGAAAAAAAGGGTGTGGGGGAGGTCAAATGCCAAAGAAAGTGTCAGTGTATGGTAACGAAAGTATAGGCTAGAGGTTTAGAAAGACAAATGGCAACTATGGTTTAAAACAAGGGTGCACAATATGCTAGGGTTATATGTGCTGGAGAATATGGGGTGAATTGTAATGATGCAGGAATGCATAGTAAGAAGAAAGTGTGTGTGTGTGTGTGTGTGTGTGTGTGTGTGTGTGTGTGTGTGTGTGTGTCTGCATGGAAATGGATGAAACAAAAGAATAAGAGATGGGGGGATTGGGCAGGGAGTCTAGGTGCACAGTAACATTGGAGGGCTTTTTAAGAGTGAGAGAGAATGGCCCAAGTTCATGTGGTGGTTATATTCTAGCAATGGGACCATGCTTTGAGAAATTTAGGATGGGTTTAATTAAGAAACTGCAGTTTTTCATGCACCATAGTGCCAAGCACCCTCTGTTTCACCTTCACAAAATTGAGAGCCTGTTGCTTCCAAGCTTCATCTATCTTTTTCTAGCAACAAGAAAGATGGATTCCACTATTTTCCTTTCGCATCTGGAAAGGTCACAGATTGGCCCATGTAGCAAGGGTTCTAGATCAAATTAGGTTCAGGACTGATCAGACTGTATACTAGAATCCAGAACCAACAAGCTTTAGGGCAGTGCCACCATATGTGTATTGCCGTACCACACTCCCCATAGCCTTGAAAGAAAGCAGAAGAGGCACCAGGGACAAATTCAGTGATATGGATGGGAGTCATGTAACAGAGAGCAAGCACCTTGTAAAAATGTTAGCTCTTAAGAATTTAAGAGGTAAAATGTTAAGTGACCATTTTGCTGTGGCAGTACAAATTCCTCACTAATTCAGTAAGGGTAGTGCAGAAGGCAGAAACAATGCCCTTAGAATGGAGATATTCCAGACAGTGATTTTTGAACGGGGTCAGATGAATCAGTCAATCTGCACAGTATTGATGTGCATGAAGGTGCTGATATAGTGTCTAATTTGCATATATCTGAACTTTTCCATATGGAGCAGTTTCCAATGTTCTCTAAGGTATAGGATAGACTGGATACCATCTATTAAGGAGAGGTCATAAACACGTTTAATGCCTCTCTGATGCCACCAGAAAAAAACCTTTGGGTTCTTGTGCACAGGGAGAAATGAGGGGTTATGTAGGACCCCTGAGAGGGAGTAGTGAGATTAAATTGAGTTGCTGGAATATTTCATGGAGTCCACTGGCCTTAAACCTATATTAAACCCTCAGTTTTCTAAGCACTTTCAGCAGCTGATTACATCACTTACTGAGTATGCATCTTCTTTAGCTTTAATCTTTGCCTATGTTCCAGTTTAGGTTTGTTGCATCACTATTGCCCCAGGTTTCCTGTTTCAGGACTTTTTTTTTCTATTACAGCATCCTATGGATGCAGGAAATAGAGCTGTGTCTCCCTACACTGTGTGTATCACCAGAAACTTACAGCTCTGTAGCATAGAATGGCAAGGGACTCCCTACTCCTCCTTTCTCCTCCCCCTTTCTTCTCCAAGCTAATAGACTTGCTCCAGACTGCACTGTCCACTGTTAACCCTTTCCCATGAAGACCAGAAGTGCAATGAGATGGTCTAGGTGAATGTATACAAGGGTTCCACAAAAAAATGGAAACACTACATAATTTACAAGTGTGAAAGTGACAACATGTTTTGCATTGAAAGTGGAAGTGATGTAACATTCTTTTGCTCCTGTAAGGAGACATCTAGCTTCACACATTCACTGCTTGCACTGCTAGTAATATGGAGTAATGTCAGAGCTTACTGATCATAAAGGGCCTTGATACAAGGATATAAAGTTCTCTCTTAACCTCCATTTGCAGAGGGCAAAGAACATAGAGTGCCAGAAAAGTGTGTCAAAGACTTTGTATATGTTGAGAGGAAGCTCTGTTAAAATGGATAAGCTATATGTCAATGACACCTCTCAATGGCACAAACCCCATGTGGTCTTTGTGATGAGATAACCCAGGAAGAGATTTACTCCAGTAACTAGAACATTTGCCAGGATCTTTACATTTGTGATGAAGAGCGAAATTAGACCAAAGAATGAGAGTCAAGGGTCACTTTGGGGATCATGGTAATGTTGACTTACAGGGATTCTGTGAGATGAACGGAGTTAACTTTCTTGGGCTAATTAAAAGTTGTTTGTAAATAAGAGATGAGGACACTGAAGAATATTTTGTAAAATAAACAGTATAGTCATCAGAGCCTGGTCTTTGGCAGATTTGAGAATTCATTTGCCAGGCGAAGCCCCTCTGCGATGACATAGGTATTCAAGAAGACAAGGTTTTGTTCCAGGATAGTGGAAGGTCAATTATCTTGAAATAATTCCTCCATTTTCTCCATGGCAAAGGGTCTAGGAGATGCATAAAGCTTAAAAAGCTGGTGTTTGAATTCTGCTAAGACATTAGGTTGTTGGTAAGTACATGATGTCTAGTTCTAAAGGCTAAGGATTTTGGTGCAATGTAGAGCATAATTTTAGCCAACATGGTTCCAGACTTGGCTTTTTACTGTGGAGTATGACTGGATCATGGTTGAACCAGGGTACAGAGAGAATGGAAATCTTAATTAGCTCCGCTAGAAAGGTGTGTTGAATCCAAATTCAGTTGATATGCATGTAAATGTTATACTCGCCTGCTCTATGCAATGGTATTGAACAAAGCGGGGCCCCAAACCTCCTCTTTTGGGGTCACCTGCTGGCACTCTTGGCTCCTCCTCTTCTGTGTCTGCCCCCATAGTGTTAACCACAGGGTTAACTAAGGTTTGGAGCCAGAGGATTTGTACATCCTGGGATGTATAGTTAATTTCCAGTCTCCACATAAAAAGACTGCTCTCTGACCATGCGAAACTAGCAGTCATAATTACTGAGGATGGTAAGTTCTCAACCATACAGATAGTCTCGTAGAAGAAGGTATCGACTTGAGTGTCCTGCTTGCTTGCTTGTAGTCATAGTAACTGAGGATGGTAAGTTCTGAACCATGAAGATAGTCTCGTAGAAGGTATTGACTTGAGAGTGTCCTGCTTGCTTATCGTAAAGACACTAACTTCATTTGCAACACATTTTTGAACCCCAATGTGTCAAGGGTGCTGAGGCTAAGCCAGGTAGGCCTCGGTTCCAGGTTGGGCAAAAAGTATCATTATTCAGGCGATCAACTTACTGCTAATGATTGAAAAAAGGCCAGGAGCCCAGGAAGGCATTATCAGATACTATGCCCTGGCTTTACAGAGATGGAGTCATAAGAATTAGGAGTGAGAAGGGTAATGTGCACAGAAGCATAGGGGTGGCTTTTTGCCCGCCCAGTGCACATAAAGGAGAGTTCAGTTGTCAGGTGTGCTGTATTCGGCAAGCATTTGACAGTCAGAAAATGTTACATATGTTAAATTATTCTGTATTGTTGTAAGGGTGCAGGATGCACAGCGAAGAATGCAGGGAGGAAAAGTTTGTGTG